GATGGATCAACACAAACATTTCCACTCGCTATTCATGAATTGCCGCAGTTCGTCAGAATTTCAATGACTTCACTGCACAGTGAAAAAGGCAAAAAAGTAAAACGATGCCGGTCAGTAAATGAATCTTCCATGACGGGGCTCGCCAGTTTGAACAGCAAAGCGCCGATGCCGGCCACTCACTGAACTTCCATGTAAATACTGGCCCATCAAAGGATATATTAGCTTCCACTTCACAAAATACTTTTAACTTTCGTGATTGCTTTCTGTTCAGATAAATTCTGGATCACGTTAATATGAAACATACACTTAACGCAAATGTTAAGCCTCTCACAGTTTTTTTTTCTTTGTGTTTTCTCAAAATTGTCACTAGCGACACGCTTCAGACTAAATGAATGCCAGGGTTTCTTTTCCGTCAGCTCTGCATGACGGTCAATTTACCTCGTTTCTTCATACTGGCTACTGCATGTCAGGAATATCGGTGATTTTGATAGAACCGAATTGTGATGGGACATCTGAGGATTCTAACTTATTAGTTATTATACTGAAGGCGACACATACTGATACTTGTAGCGGTGTAGGAGTGTTACAGATTTAGAAATAGATACTTTTTTATTATAAGCACGACCACTGATTCCAACTAAGTATCCTTAATTCTAAGGTTAGATTGAACGAAATGTGTTACCAGACGCACCACTCGCTGAAAGTACCTCTGTCAAATTGCCACAATATTTCAAGATCCCTCCTCCTCCAGGTCATACCTGAGAAACATTTTTTTTAATTTTTCGGCTAATATTGGTTAAAACCGGCTACCAATAAAGACTTTATGGTTACGGTTACGGTTATTTTTTTTTTTAAATTTCAAATAGCAATTTTGTTTCGATTATGGTTACTGAAAATTTTCGTTCCCAAATGGTTTTCAGTTTCGGTTACGGTTACGGTTCGAGTCCCTGCTTTGCGTAACTATATTGATGAAAGCCCTTGAAATTTTCTGCACGTGCACCATAATAGAATGTTGAACATGCAGGCATAAACAAGGAGACCGCAGGAAAGCTCTCAAAGATACTGAAATGACACTTTCCGATTGTGTGTACATCTAGCTGTGGCATCACAGTAGTTCTTGTTTTTGTTTGTTGTTATGTGGAGAAAATTATGTGAAAAAGGTTATTTGACAGTTATCAATAAATTTTTTTTAAATATTAAAAACAAAACAAAACGTAGTTTAAGCATAATAATGAACAAGTATGACAGAATGGATGCTTGGGCGAGTTGGATATTCATATTGTAGGAGAAGCGCTAAAGTACACTCACCCTCACACTCACACTCACACCAGAAAAACGGTCACTCACGTCGCGCTGACTTTCAACTCAAATTGTATTTTCGTATTCTTTCGTTTTTCTTTTACCCGTATTAAATTTGTCATCTCACTTCGTTCTCTTCTGTACAAAATAATTAGCAATGTCTATCGCACATTACCTTCGAGAATCAAGATATAACAATTATTTTTCCCTAAGCGTTATGGATGGACTACTAACACAGGTGTCACTCCTTTTTATGATGTCAGCTGCTTCTATTATCTCACGTGTTAACTGATGATGGTTCTTTCCGATTATGGTGCTATTTTTGAAGTCCGCGGCGCACCCACAGTCACGGCAGTGAACGCCCAAAAGTCCTGAGTTTGCTAATCGGGTGTTGTTGTTGTGTTCCCTTAATCTGTCATTAATACATCTTCCAGTTTGTCCTATGTACTGTTCGCCGCATGATAGGGGAAAGGAATAACTCACTCCTTCTGAGCAAGGTATGTATGGGGTTCTATGCTTTTTAGTGCAGACGGTATTAGTTTTTGGTATGGCTTTAACTTTTTACATAGGCCTGATAGTTTGATGGGGGCGCAAAAGGCTACATCGATATTTGCGCGATTCCCAATCTTCTTGGAGATTACGCACGAGCTTCCAGAGCTAGGATCATTAAGATTTCTGGACCTAAGATTCAACTCAAATACTATTTGAGTTGAAAGTCAGTGCGACGTGAGTGACCGTTTTTCCGGTGTGAGTGTGAGCGTGAGGGTGAGTGAGATTAGTTTAGCGCTTCTCCTACAAGTATTACACAGTGCATAGGAAAAGCTAGACGGAATTAGATGGCGATGACTTGCGCAAAAATAGCCTTGATGTCACCTTTTTGGCGCCGCGTATCAGCTCGCTGTATTCTGCGGTCTGAGCTCTGATCGACGCAGCCCGTACGGTATCGGGATGGATTGTTTGCAATTTGATGTTTCAACCATACGCATGAAAGTCTTCGGCATCAGGCGGCTGATCCCATTTTTTTTTAACAAGATATGGCAAAGTATGGTTTGTACAAACCGGATATTTTCAGTCTAGACTTTGTCCAATTTGACTTTTAACCGAATTAGGCGAGAAATGGTTTGTTCTAACCGCATATTGTGTGTCTAGAATTCCTTCAATTGTACTTTTAACAGAATTCCAAAATTCACAGTTTGTGCGAACCAATTAGGAAACTCACGGTTTGTGTGAACCGAAATTTTTCTGTCTGGAATTCCTCCAATTTGACCTTGAAGCGGATTAGAAAAATCACGGTTTTTGCGAACCGGAATCTGTCTCTCTGGAATTTCTCCAATTTGACTTTGTACCGCATTAGGAAAATCACGGTTTGAACGAACCGGGATTTGCCTGTCCGGGATTCCTCTAATTTGACTTTGAACCGGATGAGAAAAATCACGGTATGAGCGAACCGGGATTTGCCTCTCCATTATTCCTCCAATTTGCCTTTGAACCGGGTTTGAAAATTCACGGTTTGTGCGAACCGGAAGCCGCCTTTTCGGTTTGACTCTGATATGATTTTAGTCCGGATTTCACTTTCCGGACTAATTTCAAACCGTTATTTTTGCTATGGCGCCCGGGAAAGCAAGCTACAAATCTTTACGAGAAACTAGCTGAAAGGGTATCGACCCCTAAGGTTTGAATGTGTTCTTGGCCGGCTTGCTGGAAATCAAGTAATCGGGTCCTATTTAAGCGAATATTGAAGTAAGTATTGTTCTGATAGCGTAGTATCAATATACCACGTGAATGATCGCACTTTATGCGCATGCGCGTTCTATCCTTGGCAGTGGTTCCATTTAAGTCTGTTTTAAACGCTGCCGACCGATTTAATTTCAGGGATGCCATTGGAAACGTCCTGTTCCTCACGACCCTAGTGATAAATGTTATTTGTATAACAATTTGCTTGATTCAATAAGAGCATATCATCAAATGTTCAATAAGAATATATTTGAACCCGATAAGAATGTATACGAAAATATGTAAATATTGCTAATACATTTTTATTAAATCTTATATCATTCTTATATGTTCTTACACGGTTCGTACCCGAAGGAAAAATCCATCAATGTAACCCTGCTTGGCAGTCAATGTTTTCTAGTGGACCGCTGACTGTGCCTGACTGTACGTCAAGCATGTCTGATTGGCCAACAAGTTACTCTGACCGACTGTCAAACTCCAGTCAGACCCCGCTTGTCGGCTTTCTGATGGTTTCCTGGTGGCAGTCGGCCGCCGCGAAATGCCATCAGGATGTCTTGGTGGTGATTCTGACTGTACATCGATTGTCTCTGACTGTACGTCAGAAAGCTTTGACGTGCAGACAGACGTACGGTCAAAGGACGTAAAGTTCGTTCGGATACCACTATTTCGTCAAATCTATGAATACGAAAAGTAATCTATGCACGAGAAAACGATTTCGGGACGTGAGCCCATAAAACCGCTGACGTTAGAGATATGACACGCAACCGACCGACAACCTTGATCAGAAGCCCGCCGAAGCGCCGAACACGACACTTCGCACTTCGCTTCGCCCATAGAGGCTTCGCCGAGCTTTCATGAACGATCGCTCTCGACTCGTTTTGTTTGCCCGCTTGCTCCAACCTGTCGATCCTGCCCGGGCTCTACAATGTCTTATGTTTTAGTAGAATTTCTACTCGACAAGACCCAGCCTGTTGTGAGTTCCGACGATGTAAGGGACTTAAGTGGTGTAGTTGAAGACGACAGGGTGTACCAGGTCTACTGGGCCGGTGATGCGCGAACAAAAGGATCGTTCTACGACGCGAAAGTACTGTACATGGCAGGTGAGTAGAACTGAAGTACGGCGAGTGATGTACAAGTGCTTTGCATAACATGCTGACGGCTTAACTGCATTTGCAGCCAAAGCATTTTGTATAAAACGAATAGTCAAATCGAGTTTCTCTAACGGTGGGGCGGAGCATAGCGGTTAAGGTGCCCGATATATACGCATGTGGTCGTGGGTTCGATGCGCGGTGGTGCTGCTTTTTTTTTTTTTTTTCTCACTAACTTTTTGTTTTATCGGGGCATTTAGCGATATTTATGAGTGCGTATAGCTTTACTCTTATATAAATGCTGCCCTTGTGATGAAATTCCCTTGGCAGTGGCAGTCAGACGTCATCTGATGGACCATCAGATGACGTCTGATGGTCCATCACGTTCCACCAAAGCTGCTGACTGGCAGTCAGTGTCCCAAATTACGAAGCTTGATGGAATTTTCAATAGGGTATGTGTTTTATATGATCTTATTTGATTGTATGTGCTTATTGAACCAATACATTTTATATACCATTAAGATTTTTCACTAGGGGAGCGACAACAGCACCGAGCGTAAGCGAAATTTCAAGAGTAACTGTCTTTATTTACACAAAATAATTCATGTTTATATTTTCACACAACGACAACCTTTGTTTCCATTTTAACCACAAACAGTGAATACAGCTCTATGTTATACAAACTCTATTGCCACTTCCTGCCCCAAGGATATACAATATTGCGCTCAATATGAGCTCCAACAGTCCTTCTTGTTGTTTTTTTTTTTTAGTATCTGCAAGTTTTTTAGAGAGTTAAGGTCCGAACGAGAAACACAGAATAAGACGTTGGAGTCAATAACTTCGGCCTTTTTGACACAGTTAAATATAAAACAGCCTGTAAGGACCGTAAACGCAGATTAAGACCGAATCGGGTGTTCATGTCATATAGAGTGTGATAATGAAATGGCTCCACTAATGAAGATGTGAACCTCCACGCCGAGCACTAAGTGCGAGAATAAATCTTAAGCATCACTGGTTGTCTTGGCACTGGTAGAAGACACCTTGCTTTCAGCTTCAAAGGAATCTGGAACAAATAAAAACATCGCCCTTTATAACATAGAACTATACTTGTGGTGAGCTTGTGCTAAAAAAACACCACTACCATCTTAGTTGAAACAAAGTTGCTGCTAAAGCTGTAGCTATTCAAACGAGGTCTTAATTGATCCTCCCGATTTACGGACATTTTTACGGGCGCTCATGTGCCACAAAACGATTTTCATTTATATATATTTTTTTACCATTCTGCCACCTAGGCGAGCAGTGGGTAGAGAACCCACTTTGTAACATAACCCCCTAAAAGAGCAAGTGTGAACTGCTAATAACATGCTCTATGATGTTCATTTTGACCCTTGCGTTACAAGTAGCGTTACACAAAAACTCTAAAAGCATGTTCATGCAGTGTCGTTAGATTATGTTACGTTGGCTTTAGTTGGTATAACACTAAAATATTATTTAGCAATCAAGATTTTACACATTGTTTTATGGTAACAAGCAGAGGAGTGCCGACGTGAGCATTGGAGGTTGTTTGGAAAAATTTGTGGATTAGTGAACAGGCCAATTTTAGCTCTTTGATTAACTTGTCATCGTGGACGTAATATCCCCGAATTTACGGGGGGACAGAGGGGAGGTAGGATGAGCGTTAAGTAAACACTACTCGGTGATTCACGCGTTAGCCTTTGCTTACGATTATCGGGTTGCATTTTTACCTGATAAGCATAAGCCTTGCAAATGCTTCAATATCGCCTTGAATAATTGTGTCTTTTTGCTTTATTTTAGGGGAAGATATCCGTACAAAATCTCCGCGAAGAGAGACTGCACGGAAAGAACCCCCCCCCCCCCCCCACGCACACACACACAGACCGTGAATCAAGACAACTTACTTTATATATAAAAAAAAAAACTTCGAAATCTTTATTAATATCTCTTCAATGCGCTTGACGCAAATCTTCAATACACCCACATATTATTTCACTCGAGAGTACCAATCTAAACTGCATGCTTTTGTATTGAAATGATTTCTAGGCGAATTGTTTTACCACTTTAGTGTCCAAACGTTGTACACGCACTGTGTAAGGAGTTCGAAGCGAGTTTAATCTAATCTCAAGCGAAATTTTAATTTAGTCTAAAAATGCACAGTTCGCAGGAGATGTGAGAACTAAGTTTTAAAGTCACGTGTTCGGCCCTGCGTCTTGCACTCTTCTGCACAGAAAAGCTTTAAGGAAGTAGTGAAAGCAAGGCTTCGTACCATCGTCTCAGGACAGGTGCCAAACTTGACGTGCTGTAGTAGGCAGACCATAACAACTTTGACTGTCAGATACCCCAGCCGCATTCCCACGCAACTTCTCGGGCCACTGCCAAACGGAAGGAACGTGTACGGTGTGTGAGAGTCCTTGTTTTCAGGCAGGAATCTGCAATGATTCCAAAAAACACACAGTTCAGACACTCTCGTGGTACCTTTTAAGTTCACGCTGTAAACAGAAATAGTAACGTGGTAATTACTTTTACGGACTAACACTTGACAGTGACGGCAGGTTAATCGAGCTAAATAACTACAAACTCGTAGCAGAGAAATATCCTGTCTAAGGCTTGAATTCACAGTCGTACGCAGCACCGAGCAAGCTCATTGTAGAAGCCTGGTTTGTCCATTTTCGCCAGGCCGCCAAGAGAGCAAAGCACCGCTCGCGCATGACACATCCACACAGCTTGGCCCGCAATGTAGTTGAGGGGCGAAAGCTGTATAAACCTGATTACGGTGTCACGCTTGGCTCGTCATAAAAACAAAGAGCGTAAAACATCATTTTCTTATATTCAAAATTACTCGAAATTTTTGCTCGGTCTTTACACGTGGGTTCGTGCCTTAGGGCCTGTGCAGATAGTGCCACGTTACCGCAGTTGCGAATTCGCTCGTGGGATAAAGATGGCGACGAGAGCTGCGGCGCGTTACGTCGCAACATCAAAGCAAACTCGCACTGCGTGAATCAGGCATAATGCGGTGGCATCATCACATACCATGGCCGGGTCTTGACGAAACGAAAAAGATGTTTTGCCACTTTCCTAAAGCAGCCTAAATGAGTGTGAACACTTTTCATGAAAATTTATATACGAGGGTCTATGATGATGTTGGCAGCGTCACGAGCAAGTATTGTGGTATGGCATACAGCACAGGGTAGAGTTTAGACTACACCGTTCCAGCCCCGTTAAACAAAACGTATATATGTGATGCAGAATACTGCGTGAAACAATACCCCGCAGTCAAAATGTACACTAGGAAAAAGTGACCTTTAAAAAACAACAAAAAAACAAGCCCACTTCAATGTATCTAAGCAGGCATTCATTACAAAGGGCGTTTCTTGTTTTAAGCTCTATAGATTTGTTTAATAATAGTGGTGAACGTTACAATTACGTAGCTTGTAGAAGTGAGTTATACGGCCAGGGGGACATTATGTGGGTGGATAATCTTTGCGATAAGTCGGCTAATTAGTTAAGATTCGTTAAAAACTTTTTAATTAGTGAAAATAAACATATCGCTACAATTAGGAACTTGCTGAGCGTCATCGGAAAACCCTTTAATCAATTCTTTTTTAGAACGAATTGAAGCTCGCGGGAGAGTCTGGGGAGCACCAAAGTTACCACTGGTACAGCAGGCGCAAAGCTAACACTGGCGAAACGTGATTATAATTTTATCACCCGCGTTCCGCAATCGCTAGCCTTGTGCCTGCTCCACTTCTACACTTCTCACGCGCTGAATGTGTTTCTGAAACTTATTGATTTTGTGGTTTTTGACGACGCTCTGCAAGTTTTTAATCGGAGCCATATGCCTATTTGTATTAGTTAAAAGGTAAATTAATGAATTGTAATTAATTATCCGACTGATCATTACGATTAGCCCCCTCTACTATATCTCCCTGGCCGTATAGCTCACCTGCACAAGCCTCATACGTGTAACGTTCACGGCTTTTTTTAAAAGAATCTGTAAACCTTAAATAAAGCAACCTGTAGTTCCTCTCAAATGTTGTCGCGCACTCTGCAAGACTCGATGTGGCCTGTGATGCTCCCCCGGTCATTTCTCGCCGTTCTTTGGTACTTTCTGCCGCTCCATTGCCCAGCCCACATGGTTGCCTTCGGTAGATCCAACTGACCTTGTTCAATGTGTAAATTGAAGAATAAGAGGTGCGTGCTTACCTTTCCGGTTTGAACGACTCGGGGTCAGGGTAGAACTCCGGGTCATAGTGGATGCCGACTACTGGTATGTCCACATTCATTCCAGGTTTGAAGTTGATTCCAGCGAGCGTCGTTTCTTGAGTACAAGTCCTCATCAGGCTATGAAGTAACGACGGAAGCGTTTAGGTTATAGAGTGGTTCAAAATCGGCCCTAATAAGGCATTTTTAGTAGAAATAAATATGGAAAATATTGTCTAAGAGCAGCGGACACCACTGACAAACCAAAGACAAAAATATTTATCATGCTATTTTTAGTTTATATAATTTATCTAATTTCTCTTGGTATAATGAGCATCTGTATAAATCGTAATCATATCTACCATGCAGGTGTGTACACATTCTGCAAAAGTGGCTGCAGCAAAGGGTACTGTGCTTAATCTATAATCATTTTTGCTGGAAATATTTAGCTAGGCTATCAGACCTTACGTCAAGATGTCTTTTTGTACTCTGCCCTCAAGAATCGTAACGTAAGGGGCACTCACAACATGGCACCTGGGTACAAGCGCATCGTCTCCTTTACACAGGCATGGAGGTAATGCATGGACTGAATGCTCTCGTATGTTACCCCATCCTGGAGGAGAAAATGAGTTAGCGTGTAAGCGATGATGCTTCAATGCATGGAGAACATTTACGTAGATAATGCGTGCTATTATGGTCAATACGTGAGTGAAGAGTCCTTTACGCTTTTTGGAGGACTTGAAGCTTTTCTGACTCACCGACTTCCTCAGCGTGACACGCTTGACGTGTCGAGCTGTGACAATGTTTTTTTTTTTTGTTTGTTTTTTTATCAAACGGTGCACGTTCCTAGATCGGCATTAATTTCTATACTTTAACTGATATCATTATGAAGTTTTGAATGAAGACAAAAACACATATAGTATATTTAGGCTATTTATTTTGAAATCGTTGGAGAGTTCAGGAATGATCCGTCAAACGAGCCTATTCGCTAAGGTTCCGGTCACGGTCATTAACCGCTGGTAAAATGAACGCCACGATCATATCGGTGCCATTTAAAATAGTTTAAGTAACATATAAGCAATAGTTCTTCTTCTGGATCAAGTTTTAAACGCCAGTATTGAAGATGACCGCAAAAAACACGAGATGAAATTTCACAAACGCCAGGCGATATCACTATACAATGCATTAGTAAACAATATCTTCTTTATGTCGCCAGATTTGGAAAAGGTGACGTTATCGTAATCGAACGTACCTGAGGTAAGGAGCGAATATGACGAACGAGGCACCATCCACTACGCAACGCCAGGGAGTTTGCAGATTTTCTTATTCATTTAATAATTTATTAATACTAAAGTACATTACATAAAGGTTTACGGCGGCATACAAAGCCATGTGGAATATTGTCGGAAAAAAATTCTGGTAGCTGTACATTGTGCACCGTCTGTGTTTTTGCTTATGACAGTAGCGTATATTTACAGTTAAGTGTTTTCGGATAAATCCGTTAAACTCCGAAAAAGACTCGCCGGTAAAATTTTGGACAATTCGGATTCATCTAAAAAAAAAAATTCCAACCTTGTAGGTCACGTTGACAAAAAAAAAAGCACATAAAAAAGAAGAGATTATACGTATAAAGGTTTTCATGGCAGAGGGTTAGTCGCTCTGACAAAAAGTCAATGCAGTTTTTTCTGAATTCGGGACCAATGGCAATACAGTTTGCCGTTCACCTCGCCAATGTTAGTTCAATACAATGAGCCATGTACTTTTGGACCGAAGCAAAAGCCGCGGTTACGTTATCCTGTTTAAACCATACCATTTGCGTTTCTTAGATGAAAGAGGGGTTGTAATTTTTTAGCAGTGAAAGACGTGAACACATATATCGGAGGGCAGTTGAAGTCTTTGTACGTACAGGGGTTTGGCTATTTAAAAGAACAGACATTTATTGAAGTAGCAATTGTTTTCGAAAATTTGTCGTCGGACAGTTAGCACCGTCACTAGCAAGGGCGCCAGTACCAAATGCCGCTGCAAAACTACATATCGATACCGGTTATTTGTTCTTTATGAGTTAAGTTTACGTTAGCATCCTTCAATACTCTATTTTGCTTTGAAAAAATACATAAGAAAACAATGTAAAATAAACTCCAAATTTCGGAGGATTGGGAATCTAACAAAAACAAACTCCAAATTTCCAACAATGAATTAAAAAAAAAAAAAACAGCCCCCCGAGCTTCACAAAATGTAAGGTCCGAAAACACAAAATCCTACGTAGATCACAAGCGCCCGACCTCATACTATTCATATTGGGAGAGACATTAAGTATTCGCGAAGCATCGAGATTCAAAATCAATCGTTCTGAGTGCTAGGCTGGACAATAAAAAAAAATGCAATAATGAACGAGTTCAATTTCAGTGTTGTTTCGCGAAAAAAAAAACCTTAGCCGGTAACGAACGTCTTTTCAAAATGGAAAATATGATGCCTGATATAAAAATTATATATAATTAATGCCTTTGGTTATGTAATAAAGTAATGATATAAAACCAGATCATTTTAATCGCCCCGATATATTGCTGTTGAAGAGGATAATAGCGATATTTGGTTGTTTAATTTCCAGTCTAAAATAACCCACCATTGAAAACACCACTGAACTCATGGTGGATACCTCAGTAAATGTTCTCACATGCGCCTTCTGAAGTATAATCTTAACAATAACGCAAGACTGATGAACACTAAGTAATATGCAGTTATGCCAGGCTTCTAATCATTTCCTCACTTTTGATACATGATCCCAATTTGACGGTGACATATCTCCCGTCTTACTTTTTCCACGGTAGCGTCTATTTCACTGATGAGCTTCTCTTGACATTCCGGGTGAAGAGCGAGCAAGTGCGCCATGGCCATCATAGCCGCCATCGCGGTGTCGGTGCCAGCAGCGAAGAAGAGTCGACACTGGGCGGCGATGTCCACGATCGTCAGGGCTAAAAATGCATTTATGAATGGATTTCAAAATAAACAAAATATCGCTGAGCCATGGCTAACGCGGCAACGGCATTTAGATAAATATGGTTAGAGGCTGCCCAGAACCTCTAGAACAGGGTTCGTAGATATTCGTACATACATACTCTGCAGTTTTTTCAGTCTTCGCTTTCCGTACACCCTAAGAAAAAGGGGAGCGCGACTTAGGCCCCCCCCCCCCCCCCCCCCGGGAACCAAATGCGCTGCCACCCCCTTAGAAAAATGATTAGTGAGTTTCAATTGACTTTCTACTGTGTTCCTATAGAGTCAATTGAAACTCAATATAAACTCAATGTCTAATGAGTTTGATCATTAGAAACTCAATTTTGATTCTATTGAATTTACTCATTAGGAATGCAATTGAGACTGATCATAAGAAACTCAATATAGATTCTATTGACTTTACTCACTAGGAATGCAATTCAGTTTGATCATTAGAAACTCAATATCAATTCTGATGAATTTACTCATTAGGGATGCAATAGAGTTTTATTATAAAAATTCAATATCGAATTTATTGAATTTACTCATTAGGAATGCAATTGAGTTTCGTCATTAAGAACTCCATATCAATTCAATTGAATTTACTCATTAGGAAGGCAATTGAGGTTGGTCAGAAGATACTCAATATCGATTCTGTAGAATTTACTTATTAGGAATGCAATTGAGTTTGGTCATTAGAAACTCAATATCGATCCTATTGAATTAACTCATTAGGCATGCAATTGAGTTTGGTAATAAGAAACTCAATATCGCTTCTATTGAATTTACTCATTAGGAATGCAATTTAGTTTGGTCGTTTGTGGATTACTGCACCAGGCGATTATTGCTTGTAGCAATCTTTTATTCTATTATTCTATTAAGTGATAGAGTCCAATGACGTCCAAACACTGTTTATCGTTCATGAGACTTCCAAGGAGGAAATAGCAAACTGGGAACCTTAGTAGATGCTGAGGTAGTCACCGGCCAAATGAATACCTTTCTTAGGTAGGGTATATAAGGCGGTGGGGTAGTCAAGGGGAGTACAATTAGTGGGTTCTGAGTGCTTAGTTATGATGGTGTTCGTTTCCTCGATGTGCTTTGTTTCCTTCATGCTGTATACAAAAAGATTCCCAACCAGTTGCAAATTTTTTTAACGCAGTTGAAATAAATTCTATTGAAACTTTTTGCAAAAATTTAATTGAAACTCAATCGCAATTTTTTAGTGAAACTCAATAGCAAAAGTTATATTCAAACACTATTGCCAAAATTAAATTGAAATGCAATTGCTAAAAATTTAATTAACACTCAGTGGCCAACCCTTACAAAAATCTGTAGTTAAATTCTTTTGAATTTTTGTTGAAAATTTTCTGGAATCGTATTTTATTTCTTTTTAAACTTTTTTGGTGTGTTTTAGACTTTGTTTTGACAACCTATTTAACTCCTAGTTATAATTGGCCACTTAAATTTTTTTGAATTCCTTCTTACATACATTTTTTTTTTAAATTCCTTCTTACATAAATTTTGTTGAATTCCTTTTGACGGAACCGCAAATTTACGTTAAAAAAAATTCAATTTTTTTATATATTTTTTAGTTTTGTTAGGAAATAGTGTGTTTTTGATACATACACATCCCACAGATAAACATTGTAAACAAGCACATACACCATGAAGCACTCAACACCAGAATCATGATCCGGTTGAGAGCACCAGAGTCTTATATAGCCTACATATTGAAGGTAATCATTTGGCCGGTGGCCACCTCAGCACTTACTAAGGTTCCAAGTCCCTGATCTCCTTCTCGAAAGTCTGTCAAAGGGAAGACAGTGTTTCGAAGTTCGTGGACTCTATCTCGTACTGAAAAGCATTGGTACAGCTAATAATAATTCCGTGTAGTCGCTAAAACAACACCCACAAAAACGGCTCACAGAACAAATGTTATCGCTTCTCTGCATAGTACCACTGAGGAGGAAGCCAGTCAAGACTGTTGCTCCACTTTAAAGTAGTTATTTTGCTCTTCTTTACTATTCGAATAAGGTCAATAATGTCACGATAGTCATTTACAAAGTGAGAACGACAGGGCGTGTTTTTCGAACGCCTGGCCTCCAGCACGCGCCCCATGCCTTCCGTCGTGCTTTGACTGCGCGGTCGAGCTCGAGGGGCGCGAGACGTCGACGTGTTGTCAAGGATAGAAGGCTTGCGCTGGAGGCAGAAGAACGGAAGCTCCTCCCAACGGTTTTCAACTTGTCAGAGACTATTGATAAACTTGGCGACTTTTGACATTTAGTCAAGATGTATTATGTTCGATAAAAAGTCAACAGAAAGTCTGTAGCTTTTCTATTGACACTGGCTACAGAAAGTCAACTGAATAATTTAACACGAAGAAAACAGAACGTCTTCAATGTTTCTGATAACACTTTCAACAGGAAGTCAACAAAAAAGATCCAACGTAGAGTTAATAGAAAGTCAATGCTTTTCTTTTGACTCAGGCAGAAGAAAATAAAAAAAAAGTTTAATCACAAAATCAACAAAATTTCTGTTGACCATGTCACGGAAGTCAGTCAAAAGAAAGTAATCAGAGTAAACAAGAAGTCAACACATTTTCAATAAAAAGTAAAAGAAAAAACCCGTCATGCCGGACCCCGCACACAACCGCAGACCAAATAAAATACTAAAAAAATTATCTTTTTATAAAATTACATAAAGAATAATTTCAATAAGTTTTGTTTTTATTTTTAGAAAATAACCTACAAAAAAAAACGTCGATACAACATCTTTTTAATTTTTTATAAATAAGTCTACAAAACAAAATCTATTGTTTTTCTTTTTGAATTTTTTTAGAAAAACACCTACAGAAAAACGTCTTTAGAACTTCTTTTTAATTTTCTTAGAAATAAGTCTACAAAAAAAATTAATATTTTTTCTTTTGAAAGTTTTTTGACAATAATCAAAACAAAGTGCGTTTATAAAGGAATTCAGTAGGATCGCGGAAAGGCAATAAGAAGAGTCTAAAAAAATTAAAAAGAATGTTGAGACCTGTTTTTGTAAAGGTACGGTTCAATAGGGACTCATTAGAAAAAGTCAATCGAGTTTTGATTGAGACTGAATGCGGTCTATTGAGTGAGTCCTTTACACTTTCAATTGAAACTTGATTAATTTTTTGTAGAGGCCGCCATTAGTCCCCTGGGGGACTAACGGGGAGGGGAGCAAATTTTGCGCCCCTCCCGTTAGTCCCTAAAAGTTTAAGCGCCAGGACTAACTTTTGCACCCATGCATTTGGGCTACTGAGACCAAAAGTTGCGCCCCTTGTCCTATTCATTACTCAATTCGCCCTTACGCACCCAGGTGGAGCTAGTCAGCGTCAAATTCAAAATTGGTGAAACATGTAATCACCGGGGGAGGTATTTTCAACGCTCATTTGATTCACATATGAACAGCGTTTGTTTCACATGTGCACACGTATTGCATATTTTAACATATACAAGGAAATAGAGCGCAGATTATACACGCGCAACACACACGGCGACGACACACGAATTCAATTTTTTTTTTTTTTGCTTTATTTTTGGTTAAGACAAAATTTAAAAAAAAGAACACAGTCATTCCTACACCCACGAACTCAATCGCCATCCCGAAAGTCTACCGATGCGCCTTTTATACTAATCATATAAAAAAGTCGTTTGGTCAGTGACCATCTCAACCATTAACGATGTTACAAATATGGTGCTGCTTTCGCACCAATATTATACTCCAATATTGCTGCTAAACTTTCCAAGGCATGTACCTCTTACTAAAAAGTAACGGTACACAGGGTTCTTATTTCTGAAAGTCTATAAAACGGCGTCCCCACAGGCTCCAAGCACCAATGTTCTGGCTTCCCCGTATAAAGCGCCCAATTTTGCGCATGCGCGTCTCCGTGGCAACCGCATCGCCTCTTGGGGAAAAATATACAGATTTTAAAGATTACAAAAAGAAAAGAAAACAGAATGAACCTTTTTTGTCTTACCAAACGTTTTTACCTCGTGCTACGAGGCTGTTTTCATCCCAATTAAACCAAAATGAGAATATAAACGCTTTCAAAGCACTTTCCAAAGCATGCAAAGGGGAAGGACGCCAGAACAACGGTCGAAAGCCGTATGGCATGAACAATGGCGTCGTTCGAGTCAGCGCTCGCTTCCACGACGTGCTGGAACAGAGGCTGCGATCGTTATAAATTCAGCTCCAACCCTTAAATATGCGTTTCTGATGCAACGATTGTCTGTGGATAGCTCCCCCTGCGTCCCGAAACCGTAAGTACGTCGCTAACGCTGGCTATTGGCGATGCAGGAGACGCCGCAATATTGTCCTCGTGTTTCGACAGATGCACCCTGTTTTAGGAAGGACTAATGGCTGTGGGATCGGTGGCCGAGTGGGCTAGCACACACCAGCTCGGAGCATGTGAAGCTCGCGCTGCAGAAGCCAGGAATGCTAGGTTCAATCCCCACCCCCTGTTTCGATTTGGATGAGCATCGTTCGGGCGTGCGGTCAGCTATCACTACTGCGTGGTGCACGTTAAAGGCCCCAGGCCAGAGGTTGTACCGCACTGGCTAAACTGCTCATCGACAGCGAGTGACTCGTCGCAACTTTAAAATGGCTGACCAACTAAACGCTGTATCCACACAAACCCAATTCTTGTTTAGACTAATGGTTCCTTTCGCTCTCGGTTAGTCCCGGTCGAGTACAGTTAGTCCTTAGCATTTGGGCACGGTAACTAGCTCGAACTAGATGGTGTCTTCGGGGAGCAAATCGGAGTTCAGGGGACCAAATTCTTCGGCTAGTCTTTTCAGTCTGAGACCATCGTATTTCTAGGGTGTGCAATGAAGCAGGGGTAGTGCATAAGGAAGCCAACAACTCGATCGTCGCGTTAGTCTTAGATCCGTCGACATGTTAGTTTCTGTTCGCGTGTTTACGTAAGTCATACGGCATCGCTGTCGCGCGATGACTGTGGATACAATACACTGAAGTGGTTCAACTCGCGCCTAGCATTCATTGCCCGGGGCAATACCGCGCCCTGAAATGATGGGGTTATGTCTAGAGCAAATCGTGGGTTTTTAATTGTCATTTTGAAATTGCGACGTCGCTTGCGCGGCCAAAATAGGCTTAGTGGAAGACTAAGTTCACGACGTGAAAATGCAGAATGAAAGGATAATATGTGAATCAGGATTTTCGAGGTAGAAGGCCAACGTTTTTTTTTTTTTGTTTGTTTTTTCTGCTGTTTGCCAACGTTGTCTCGGAGAGGGGGGGTTGCGGCTGTTTCTACCAGGCTTGATGAACGCAGGTTTCAATTATCAGAACAATTATTTTTGAATGATCATTTAAGCTACGTAAATCGAACCTATTTTGCCAACTTTAGAAATGTAGCCGAGCGGTGGAGTGCCTGAGGCACTGTGAATCTGAACTTGCATGCAACAGAGGAATACGCTCATATACATTTTGAAGAAAAAGTTCGAGGGTTGGTCTCTGCGCACTCCGTAGCTGTACCCCCTGCAGACTGAGTGGCTTCTCTATAAACCTGCAGGGAATCCGTGCAGACTTTGAATGGCTTCCCTGCGGACTTCCTAGGTACTCCCTGTAGACCATGTATGGATTCTTTGCATACCCCATAAAGACCCTGTGTGGACCCCAGATGGCTTCCCTGCGGACCCCGTATACCTTGTACGGGCTCTCCGCGGGCGTCTACCAACACCATATGGATCTCGTGTAGACACCCTATTGAGTCCGTACGGAACATAAATGGTGTCTTACTATAAAATGATCAACGTGTAGTGACGTGTCTAGACACTTAATATGTCCCTTACATATGGAAACTTTTTTTTTTTATTTGCTTACGTTTTCCGCCATCAGAAGAAGGTTTCACGGCTTCGACGACGTTCCCGTCGCTATCCACATATCCACTGTCGAGGAACAGCTGCAGGATGTCGTCATCTCTCTGCACAACGTTCGAACAAGATCGATGTTTCAATATTAAAATGGGATACAGATGCATGACACTAGTTTTCGACATTCTCAAGGCCGCTGTCGCACTGCAAATACATGAAATAAAATACCCTCTGCACACACTGTCGGAGGCAAGTTTCTTCTTTCTAGGACTGTCCCATTCACGTTCCTCATGCCACTGTCCATTCTTCTACAAAAACCCGAGCGATAAAATTTACCGACACTAGAACGTGACACCGAATCTGTGGGGAAAAGAAAAATGCCCCCCCCCCCCCCCCGGAGGAAAAAAAAAAGAAAGAAAACATACAAGCTTACTAAAAAGGTAAAAAAAAAAAAAAATCCGGCACCAGGGTAATGGCATTTCATGATTGCTGTGCAATAGGCAATAACTAAACCAGGGATCATCCTTCTATTCTGTTAGACAGACTGGAGTATAATTTTAATTCGAATGAGAAGGAAGAAACAAACAAGCGAAGCTCACTTTTTGTTTGCTCCTCCGGTCCTTGGCCACCAGCCCCACAAAATGAATCAAGTCATCCGTGTCCCCTTTTGCTTCGATATTCGGCCGTAGATATTTTAAGACGGTGGGCATCGTAACTGGATACAAGAAAAATATTTATCTTGTGTTATTATATCTCTCTTATCGTAACAATACTATATATGTGCGTGTTATATCTGAAATCTTTTCTCTTCGTCTAAAGTATCATTTCTGAGAATGTTCAGGCCTGAAGATGGTACATCACGAGCTGGCTTGCTTAAATGTAATTAATACGTTTTTCTTACATAATATATATCGTTTGCATGTTTAACGTTTCATGAATGCATTTCAATTTTGCATTCCTTTTCGAAGTCCAAATTTGCTCAAATTAAAATAGGATAAGGTAGTGCGCTAATCTCACCTAACGGCTGGAGTTGTTTTCAGTGATACTTTTTTTCTATTTATAATACAATCCAAAATCAAAGAAAAAAGATGAGATGCGTTTAGTACTAGAAAAATTATGTAAATGCCGAAGATCATCAGTGGAACTGTTATACGATTATTGTGGTTTTCATATTCTCTAATTTATAATATACGTGCAGTGATTTTCCCGGCACTATACCTGCAAAAATACACAACAGAAATAAAGTCAAGCACGTCTGATCAACTATTGTTCATATGTTGGCACGATATGTTTGTGGATTAATAGAAAAATCTTTGAGTGCTAAAAAAAGTAGAGACTAATTTTTTTTTTTTGTGATTTGTGTATTTTTAACCAAAAATTAAAGCCGTTTGCAACTCCCTGTACCGCCGAATTGGAGCGCAGCTCTTGAGGAGAAGGAGGGAAGGGTACTGAGGGGAGGGTATATTCCTCCTCCCTTCTCCTCCCTCGTGATCCTGCCTGCTATTCCTGAACGAAAGGGCTCCGGTTCGAAGCCGGCCGAGGGACAAGAGATAAAAGTCTATTAAAATCATTTTTCGGAGTAATGAAAATTCGGATTCGTCCTCCCTGCTGACGTGATCCAACATCTCCTAGAGAAGAAGGCCGCAGCGCTCTGTGTGGTTACGTCACAATGTCGGAGGAAGGAAGGCCATTGCGCAACTACGTTAAAATATGTACTATCGACGTGAAACAAATGTTGCTTCTCGAGCGACGCGGTGGTGTTCGTGAGCGTTTATCCGACATTAATATACGTTTTAAAATCGCAGTCTTGTCAAATTCATTATATATATAATATAAACGTAATATACAACGCGTTACTAAGGTTGCAAGTCCCAAATTTATATTCTTGAGTATCCCCGTAACCGCGGGACTGCGTGCAATCCCGCAGCTCTCCACACCATCGAATGGAACGGCTCCGGTCACTCCGATGTGACATCTTCGCTCATACGGGATCCGATTCTGGTAAATTTACGTTGTGTGTGAGCTGCTGACTGTCTGAACATTAACGCTGACCCTACTGAAAAACCCCATTTCGCGCCTATATGAAAGTAAACGGGTTCATACCGTTAACCGTTTAGCCATACCGACCACCAGTTTGTCAAAGGGGCCACCCGTATGAGCCACAGAAACAAGACAAGCGGCGTGACGTCAGTGGGGAATCTTGTAGAAAGATAGCAAGTTGCGCGAATACCTGCTCGATAAAAGGTAACTTTTCTATAAATCTTGTCGTTCCAACATATATATAAATGCGTCAAAACCCTGGTATCATCGACAAACCTTTTATTATACGGAGTTCTAGTGGCGCCATCTATCCTAGGTAAACAAAACCGCGAATAGCTGCCAGAAGCCGGAGGGGGCGGGGGACAGCGCCGGACGGGCAAGGACGGGTATGGCCGGACCCGGATGAGACTTTCCTCCTTTCACCATATATTTCGCAGGGCGCCCGCCAGCACGTGGTTATGGTGTACTAGAAGGGGAGGTGTGCCAAGCGCGCCGTCGCTGCGTTGGGAGAGGAGGACCTTCTGTAGGATTCTGCCGCTATGACGGCAAGCGGCGCTGCTACGCAAGTCGCGGTAAGCGGGGAGCTCCCGGCCGGTCGTGCACAGCGTAGGGCAAGGCGTAGAGCACGTTAGGAGACCCTTGCGCTTGCGGTGCAACGATGGAAGTCGCTGCGAAGAAGAAGACAGATCGCTGGTGTTTTGTGCCAGGATGCAACGTTGGCTACCAACACTCAAAAGAAAAGGCATCATTATTCCGGGCCCCCAAGGACGCCGTTAACTTCGAGAAGTGGGACCGCGCAATCCCGAGAGCCGACAACAGGCTGCAACCAAATTCGGCAGTGTGTGAACGGCACTTCGATAAGAGGTGAGTGAACTGTAAATAATAACATCCGCGTGCGCGGTAGGGGGCGTATGTGCTTCTCTTTGTGCTCTGTCTTTGTGCAGAAATATGGTGTGCTCACGTGAAATGGCTTGAGAAAACGGGATAGTAGGTCTCGGGCCCTCACTGAAGTGTCGTCTCCACAACACGTTACATGTCAAGATTGGTGTGCGTGTCGTCCCATATCTGTTCCTTGGTCTCGGGTTTCCACGATGTTAAACGTTCACCAGCTCGCCAGTATCTTTTCCGTCATTTATATTTGTGTTGTCCCCTTCTTTTCGCCCGCCGACTCCGGTACCTAATATCTGTTCTGTTCCGTCTGCTCTTTTTTCTTTTAGCCCGCCTTTCTTACTTATTTGAATGTTTTGTATATATAAACCCTTCAGCCATCGCCACCAAATTTCAAAATAAGACAGGCAAAAAATGTTTGAGTACAGCATCACGCAGTAGTTTTTCTTAGTTATTTTGGGGAATAAAATAGAGCTTATACTATACATTCAATTTCGGTGACTACTTCACTATTATTTTGCTGTGACAACTTTGAGAGGATTCACGCCAGTATAAGAAATTAAATGCAGTGTTTTGTCATCTATTTCTGATTTTTTCTTTGTGATAAAAAAAGCCTAATGAAACTCATACCCAATAGCTTTCTTTTGTAATACTACCTCGATTAGCAGAAGATATTGCACAGGCTTTTGCTCTGTGGCCCGTATATGCCTCCGAGATGCTCTGAATGTATTGTATCGGTGTTTACATTGCCGGTTTTTTTTTTTTCTTTCTTGTAGGTTTATAATCTCTTCGTCTCGCCTTATCATCAATGGAGAGGAAGTGTGGCAGCCCCGCCTGGTACCTGCTTTGGCGTCTGATGCCGTGCCGACACAGTTTCCAAACGTACCGAAATACCTGAGCAAGACACTCCCCAAGGAAAGAAAGCGGAAGTCACGGGCACCACTGCAAGAGCCCAACCGAAAAGCAAGGACTCTTTGTCAGCCTTCTCAGCTTCAGTCCTCTCAGCAGTATCAACAACAAACTCAAGAAGCCTCATCAGTTTACGGCGACTGCGACTCACCCAGTGGGAGCCTTACTGCTAAAACCAGCACCTTCAGAAATCTGAGGCGCCCATCAGACTACTGGTCGGAGCAGCTGTTTTCAGAAGAGCCAAACACAGTCTCCTATCAAACAGTCTGTCTCAGCAACAACACGGTACCCCCACTTAAGTTTGAAAGGGCAGTGATCTTCGAAGCTCAGACGGCTGAAGGACCTTCTGTTTGCAAGGTCTTTCTTCGTGGTATTCCACATCTTGAGAGTAGTGTTGGAACCCCTTCGCAAGCGGAAGATATCCTGCGCTACGTTGACAATGTGCCGCTATGTGCTGGTGTTGGAGAACTGACTGAATTCGCCGTGGTCAAAATACAAGAAAAGTCCTGTCAGCGTGTCGAAAACAAGCTGTATTCCAACAAATGCAATGGATCTGTTCTAGGTGAGACATTCTTTCTTCTGAGTGGGAAGAATTATTTATGTCATGTACGAACAATTTTACAGGTGTTTCTGGACATCCTTGCTTGTCCTGCAAATATCTTCGCAAGCTCCTGACGTCTCGCATGTGGAAAGCAAGGCGCGGCAAGGCCAAGACAAACCTGACTGCATACACTGCTGCAAAAAAGCTGCGACGTGCTCTTCGGACATTGAAGCGGAAAAAAAATCGAGTGCGTACTCTGCTCGACCAAATCAACCAAACAAGGGCACAAAATGCAAGCATCAGCCAAGAAACCTTTGAGCATACTGTGAGTAGCTTGTACAGATGAGAATTTTACAGTTCAGACGTAGGCACTTTGCATCTAATTTATTTTCTAAATATTCACTTCTTTCTACCTTATATCTACATTTCAGATTGCAAAGCTGCCACCAAAGCAACAAGAGTCCGTTAGGGCTTGCTTCGAAGCATCACAGCGAAAGTCGTTGCGTGGCTACCGATACAGCAGGGCATGGCTCCTTGAATGCATCATTCTTCGAATGAAAAGCAAGAGGCTATATGAACACCTGAGACGCCACCGAATTCTTGTGCTGCCAAGTCGAATGTGCTTGTTCAGGTACATCAAGGTATGTGTCATGAGATATGCTAAGCATCTATCAAATTTTTAGTGCCAGACTATCTAACCTCGTAACAACGTCAGAATTTCAGAGCCTCATATGGATTCAGTGACAGCCTATTTCGAGCTGTCAAAGCAAAGGCACTGCAAATGGACGAGATGTCCCGTCATGGCGGCCTCGTTCTTGATGAAATGAAGCTGGCAGCGCACCTGGACCTGACTGCGTCATCGCACATTGAAGGTTTTGTGAACCAGGGTCAGCACACTCCCGAGGCTGACAAGCACACGAGAGCAGATCATGGGCTAGTACTCATGTTCCAGCCGTTTATGGGGAATTGGACGCAAATAATAGGTAAATAGTTAATTCCTCTTTTTTTTTTTTTTTTGCTTTTTTGACTACAATATGTCTTACTTAGTGCCATAATTTGTTTTTTAAGCGTATTTGCTTCAAGTGGAAACGTGAAGGCTCACTTGCTCAGTAAGATTGTCACCGAGGCGATAATTCTATGCGAACAGGCAGGTCTGTTTGTTGACTACCTGTGCTGTGACGGAGCAGCTTGGAACCGGGCAATGTGGCATAGCTTCGGCGTGCACGCCGACGCTACATCAGTCTGCTGCAAAGCCTCGCACCCTGCTGATCCTAGTCGGTTCATCCACTTCATCTCCGACTTCCCTCACTTGATGAAATGTGTCCGCAACCTGATGT